ACTCCTTCCATCCTCACTTATCTGACTTCCTAGGTATCTAAAATCAGCCACTTCTTCTAATTTTTCGTCTCCTATCTTTATATTCGCTCTTTCCCTGCTTTTTCTTCCCTTGCATACCAGTATTTTTGTTTTACTTTTATTTATTTTCATACAGTACTGTTTTGTCAATACCACTTCCATTTTATTGAAAGCTATCTCTAACTCCTCCTTGCTAGATGTTAATACTGCTATAATACTTGTAAAATTAAAGAATAGCACAGAAAAATAATGCGATGTGTTCAATATTCTTTTTAGTACGGCATGTAAAAATGAAATTTTGGATTACAAACTAAGAGCAATAATAAAATAGATCTAGCTGGACGCTTTACCACATTATAAGTATATTCTAAACAGTAGGATTAGTAAAGCTAATAAACAGTTCTCGAATATAACCGTTCAACGAACACAACATTGATTTACGACCGCCTGCAAAAACGCCGACGTTTTAGACCAAAGAAGTGACCCTACTGTATAGAACATTTTTATACTATGGTGATTCATTTGTCCCGAGTATAGTGTCAGAAAAATTTTCATTTAACGATAGTTAAGTAAGTATTAAGAGACTTGTTCTTTGATTAATTGCAGAAGTTTGAAAAATGAGGGCCGTAATCCTTTTAGCACTTGTAATCGCAGTCGCCTCCGGGCGGTCATTTTACCCCAACGGCGCTTATCAGCACAAGATCAAGGATCTGAACGAGCTCCTTTACCGACTTCGCGGCGTAGCGACGAAACGTTGCGCTAACCTCTTCTCCGAGGGCTGTAGCAGCGGCGGATTAACCGATTCCTTGATCGACGAGGAATATTTAGCAAACGGATCGCCCGGCAAAAGATGTACCAACCTGTTTACAGAGGGTTGCTCCAACGGCGGTTTAACCGACTCTTTACTGGACGAAGATTATTTGAATAATCAGTCACCTGGCAGACGCTAATATTTTTTTTTTGGGATGTAATACATACACAATTGATTTAATTAATAAGATGATGAAGTAAATGTGATGTTTATTTATTTTTAAAATTCCATTCCAATAGAATAATAGGTACTTATAACTTGTAAGTAATCAATTAATGTTTTATGAAATCCTACAAATAGCGCGGTAAGTGCCATCTGTAGTACAATGCTACATTTAGTGGAATTCATTATGCTTAACAGGGTCCATTTAAATAGATGGATATCTACTTGCTGAACTGAAACCACGGCGTAGTTCACCACTACCTGATAGGCACTTTACCAAAATCGAACAAAGAAAGCATTGTACTACAGATGGCGCTTAAAGCGCCATTTGTAGGATTTCATAAAGCGCGCTGAGTTAAGGCAGTTAGAGTTAGTGTCGAAACTGTCTGCGACGCGCTGATGAGATCCAACAGGATCGAAGAATTTGTTAAACGTTGTTGTGTATATTAGAGTTCTTAATGATGCATATTTTTTTTTGTTTCAAATGTTTCCGTTTTCGTACAGTTCATTGCTCCCAATTTACTTTTTTTTTTTGTATGTTAGGAAGGTATCGGATTTGTATTTCTGTTTTTGGGCAATTCTGTCGAGGTAGCTGGAGCTTTGTATGCTTAGTTTAAATTTGCCTAAAGCTTAAATTTGAAAGTGTTTCGTGTCGTATAAACGGGCGCGAATAGGGATAAAAAGACGACTAATATCACAATGTAAGCTTCTAAATTAGTCGTTAATCTGTTTGGCTATAAGATAAGCCCTGTAAATATACACAGAGAAATGTACGCGAGAGCGTTAAGCAATTTTTAGTTTGGGTCGTAATCCCAGGCGAACGAGGCAAAATATGTAAAATTACAAACGATCCCCTGATTCTGAATATTCATAAAGAGACATCTGCATTGCAAATATATTCTTCATTAAGCGACGCTCAAACTTCTGCACAATCCCGGAGCGTACAACCGCTAATTATTGGTTATTAACATCTAATAACGCCTTCGTCAACTATCCCCAACAAATAAGTTCCATTAATATGTAATTCAGGTATTCATAAGTAGCTGAAAAATTGTAAAAATTATTGTACTTTTTATACACATACTTGTAGAACGTTTGCATGCTTCTCCAAATAGACACCGTACTTAAATAGTATAGGTATTTCAAAATATCAGAACCGGACCTTGTTGAATCTCTTTTTGCTACACATCCATTGGTGTAATGTTATTCCTTTTCCTTCTTTGAGTGTCCGCTGCAATTCTTACCTGACATCTCTTTTCTATGTTTACGATATTCCCTACAACGCTTGTCGTGAGCAAAAGCAGGGGTTATGTCATCAACCGTTGAAAGAAGAAGTAAATGTAACAGTTTTATTACGGACTATGCCAATTTTAAAGGTCCCAACTGTATAAATTGGTAGAAAGCAATAAATAGATGTATTTTTGGCCATGATATACTGTATTACCTATAACTGTGACATCTTTCGAGAGTAAAATATTTCACAAAAAAAATATTGTGATGTAAGATACTAAGGAGGATGATAGACTTAGTCGTGGAAAGGGGTAGGTGTTGTTGGTAACGGATTTACGCTTAAAAACCGGCAGGGTGCAACTAGATGCATCAAAATTTGCGGGACGCCAAAAGTTGAAGGGCTATTAATTATTAATACCTTTTCTACATTTTTGTCTCTTGTTTTTCAGAAATAAGTTTCTTTTGATTCACTATTTCAAGTGATAAATAGGTCACAACCAGTTTCGTGTTCGGGTGATTTCGGATCATTTTTTTGACGCTAACCACTGGACTTTGCAAAAACTTGATAAAACGTCGAAACAGCTCGCGGTCTTATCAGAAAAAAATATTTTTAACACTCGGTAGATACCGTTCAGAGCTATTTCATTTCAGTAACTTGTATTCTATATACCCCCCTATTATTCTGATACGGCATATTTGATATAAATAGCAAATTTGCAATTTAAACTCGGATACCTTTTTGTTAAGTGCCATTCGTGAAGATCGAGTAATTTATCAAGTTGAAGATCAAAAGAGAAAATTTTTAACCAAAAGCAGCACCGACTTTTTTTTTCTTTTTAAAAGAAGTTATTCGAGTGAAAATTAGTTTTCCGTTCGAGGCTTTGAAGTAGCGCCACATTAAATGGCATCGACTTGTAAAAAACTTTTTTAATGGTAATACGGAACAGATGAAAACTTTAATGGGAATTGTGAATTAATTTCTGTCAAGACATCCAAAAGTTGCTTGCACAGCTCGAATGATCGCGACGAAAATTTAATAATGTGATGAGATTATTCAATGTAGTATGTACTTAATTCGGAATTTTTCACTTTTCAGACCCGCGTATAAAACGAGCATCTCTATGATTAAATTCCATGAATTGAAATTAACTCAATATACTTATAGTTAATTCACCGACGTTTTGTCTTTTTACTGAGATTTTCTCAATAAGCTCCTAATCATAAACAGTCAAAACAATCGCTAAATTCCATTCTCTCTCTACACAATATGCAAAAAAAGCCGATTGTTGAAAGCTTTTTCTGATAGTACCAGGGTCAATTGAAAAGTCCCCGGCCTGACACATAGATGGCGGCATCAGAACTAAATCCATATGATTTTCAGTTAGTCCTAACCTTCAAAAGACGCATCTATAAATTTGACGGCTGTCGGATCATTAGTTTGTGAATTATAGCATTTTTAGTGAAGCAACTTTTGTTATTGTGAAAAAAATGGATAAAAAGGAATTTCGCGTGTTGATAAAATATTGCTTTTTGAAGGGAAAAAATACAGTTGAAGCAAAAACTTGGCTTGATAACGAATTTCCGGACACTGCCCCAGGAAAATCAACCATCAAGGATTGGTATGCTAAG